TCTCCGACAGATATAAGTTAACCAAATGAATGATCTAAAGTAGATATAGACAGTGAAGAGATGTTGACTGATCTGAAGATGATGAACCAATCCAGAGATGTTGACTGATCTGACGATGGTAAACCAGTGAAGTTCGGTGACGATCCTGTCGCAGAGGAAAACTATTGCTGGGTGTTGGTCGCCCCACCACCGGTCACTCGCGGGTGGAAATGACCGTTGAACATGGGACAAACCCGACCTTCTGATTTTTATCTGATGGAGCAATAACCATAAGGAACGTCTCGACTTGAATATATTTTATAACGATTAAGGGATCTAATGGTAAAATACAAATGCTTAGTTTTATTACAGTTCCTTAGGATTATTGCGGTCCGACTAATTATATTTGCACAGGTAATGGCCGCCTCGAGGGATGCATTCTGGGTTACATATAGTGTCACCGGACGTAACACGTGGAAAATGCAAAATTTTGGTCATGCTTTTATTTAATAAAAACACATTCAGCATTGTTTAATTAAATGGTAAAAAAGGCGTAGAATATTTCTTCTAAAAATAGATTTGTGGTTTCCGGTTAGATTAAGGAAGTAGCCGCGCCATACACATCGACGCCAGAACTACGTCGCTTTTGGGAACACGATATCCGCTTGGTCCGTAATAAGAACATCTCGCGAGATAACAGCTCCCTGGACCCGAGGTAACTATAATGTTTCTGTTATAAAATGTTTTGCTGTTGCTAGTTGAGTAGAAATAAGAAGAAAATCAAGGTAACTAAGAAGAAAATTAAAAGTTTCTAAAATCCTTTCATTGACATAAAAACATGATATGTTTTATATTTAATGTTTTATGGTATTTAACGCAAAATTAAAAAAAAAGAAATATTACCAGCTTTTACGATGGATTGAGCACAAAACATTCCGCAAGGTGCAGAGATCGAGTTATGGTCAACACTGTCCAGAATTAAAATATTAGATATCTCGTAATTTATAGCGATACCTTATGCATACGTAAATTTAAAAGCTATCTACCGCTTACGCAGTTTACACCAAAACTTGAACTTCCCGCTAGCAATGAAATACGTAAAATTAGAAATATTGAACAGAAGCCAGAGGCACCGCCCAGTGGCTTTAATCCACCAGAAGGTTTGGGTAATTCTGGCAATACAAGTGAAGATTTGGCCGCACTCGATCGTATGATCACGTATCTTTTGGGACAATCGGGAAACGTCAGCTCTGGCCATTTGGATTCTTGGCACCGTTCCCATTGGACAAGTGCAAGAGGAGATTACAAACAATTACATAGCGCGCGCACCACTGTGGAAGAAGGCGTCGTTGGCTCTAACATCGATACAACGTCTCTTTAACCGCGCAGTTAAATAGATTGGTGTTGAAATTTGTGTATTGTAGATAGAATGAATATAAACGATTCCCCAGCGTAACACAAATTTTATTAAAGATATATGAGATTACTGTACTTCCATTATAACAGATTAAATAGCTTCGAAAATTGAAGTATAAGATCTTAAGTTGTATTAATCTTCGATGGTTGATGGCTCGGTTCCAAAGTATCGGTCTCCAAAGTTACCGATACCAGGCAATACGTAGAACTTCTCATTTATCACAGGATCTAAGGCGGACGTCACGATTTTTACGCGTGGAAATGCGTAAGCTATCGAGTGTACTCCTGATTCTGCCATAAGTAGAGATACGAGTAACACGTTCTCCTCAGCAACATCATGATCCAATAAAACTCTGATAGCCATAATAGCTGCTGCACCCGTTGCTACTGTTGCATCCATTAATATCACTTTGTAGTCTTTAATATCTTTTGGTAATCGAAGGTAATAAAGCTGAAGAAAATATTGATAATTTTTATGTCAATATTTAAATGATCGTGGCAAATTAGAAAAGTAAATTACATCATTTACCTCTGGTTCTCCAGTCTGTTGGTTGGTTTGTATAAGTATCTTTCCTATTCTAATATCTTTGCATACGTCCCTAACAGCTTGTTCCATAGTTTCACCGGCACGCAAAATGGAAACACCGCATATCTTATCCGTAGCTGCGCGTTTTCCGTGATATAATACTCCTTGTGGTGTTTCTACTCTTACATCCTGTAAACACGTGTTTGTAAATGGCTATTAAAAGTCACGTTGCTCACATCTCACTAGCGTTGTGTATTGAAATTTACCTCGAAGGGTAGAAGAGATAACGCGTATTCAATAACCAAACGTATTAGACGTTTGGAATAAAATATAAATTCATCTCTGTATGTTTCTTTGTTTCTTATAAATGTGTGGAGACCCTTTATCTGTGGTGTATCTGGAAGCAGGTAGAGAGAAGATGGCAATGGCTGACCAATATAAGAATGAGCTAATTTTTCTCTGAGTTTGAAACCCCTCTAGAACAAGAAATGAACTAAAGTAAACATAATAAGAGAGAGCAAGATTTACGAAACCGATAATTTTACCAGTTGAAGCTGAGTATGTACGTGCTGTACAATGAGTTCTATCGCGACTTCGTTATCTCCGCCACGAGGTACGATAATATCCGCGTGAACCATGAATGGAGCTATATAATAATAAAAAGCGGGTTGTACCATAGTGCTATATTGCTTTAGCACACCCTCCAAGTCCCTCCCTCTTTGCGATATATCTCTACGTAATCTTCGAGCAAGCCTCACATCAGCATCAGTATCAACAAACACCTTCATGTCGCACATCTTGACCAATCGAATGAAGGAGATCAGTGGTAATTTGATTTTTACTTTCGTACCTTACTACTGTTATTCAAACCCACTCATTCTGTTTTCCTGACAATACATTGACTTACCTTCAAAACGTCGACATTGTAGAACGTCAATATTCCCTCAAATATAATCACATTGGCACCATACATTGTTTTCTTTAAAATAAAAAGCAAACACTATATGTACAAAGTATGTTTAACATTTATACACTTATCAATATTTACATACAGTTCTAGTTTCTCTGCGATGTGTTACAAAATTATAGATAGGAACCTCCACCATTCTACCTTCCTTTAAACGCTGTAGCGTTGTTTTAAGTAACTCAAAATCGAACGCGTCGGGATGATCGAAATTGTACTCGTTCCGCGCAGCCATGTCGTGTTGTTTTTCATTTAAAACCTATAAGAAAAATTGGATATACTATTTGCATTCTTCTTTATGCAATAATATTTATAACTTTCTCATACTTTGTAAAATGAATCCATGCTAAGAAGTGTTACCCAAGGTACATCTAGAGATTCTATAATTTTTGTTGCAACTGTGGTTTTTCCAGACGCACTGCCTCCACAAATACCTAAAACAAAACTATTAATAACATTGTACATTCTTTCCCTTTAAAGTAATAAATATATTTTATGTTTCTATTACTAACCAATTACAAAAGGTTCTACTTGCTGACCAGCTGAATTGTACCATGGTGGTCTACCAGCTGTGTATATTGTTCTTGTTTTACTTCTAAGGATAGACTCTGCAGAAGTTTTTTTGCTAGACTGAGATAGACTAGTAGTACGTTGTCTTCTTGATCTTGGTGATCTCTGAGAACCTGTCATATAAACACAAATAGTTTCTATTAATTCATTTGAGAAATTACGCGAGGTTGCATCGTATTATTAATTACATTTCCAAAAAAATACATAAAAGTAAATAAAAATCAAAGAAAGAAGTCCTTTCGACTATTATATAGGATAAGGGATAAAGGATAAAGGTACTTTTGAAGGCTTTAACTGTTTTCTTCAAATGACAAAAAGATTCTACTTCAGTAAACCATGTACATCCTGTTTGCCAAACGCAAGTACTCCATATCAATGATTCTGTAAATAATTGGTACATCGCTTATTTACTTCAAGAAATAAGTAAGATGTAAGAATACTCCAAGAAGTGATACATTGAGGAGAAAGTGTATGAAATCTCACCCGTGGAAGGTGGTCTTGGAGATTGTGGAGTAGGTGTCCCAATGTCAGAACGTCTGCAACGCTCAGCATCCTCGCACAACTCGTCAGCAAATAAAATTTCCTTCTCGTCGAAACACACTTCAGTATCGTCGCTAAAGCACAGTAAATTCAATGCATATTCGACTGGACAGACGAAACAGATGGTAAAATACTGTGGTTTACCTTTCAGAACTCGCTGAACTTGGTGGATCAAAGTGTTGCATTTTAGCTGCCATATTCTTGATCACGTAGAAGAAAAATTACGTATTGTTACAATACGTTTTACCAAGCTTCTCTTCCTCATGCATCTGAATCTGTACTGACAGAAACTACAAACTACAAAGACAGGTAACGATAATGAAATCGTAGATATTTTTCATTGCCACCTATCGCTCATGTTCCGAAGCAATTTTTCTATACTTATTACCCAGTAATAGGTATTTAAATATGAGTATTTATATATGTACATATCCTTCTTAAATAATTTAATACAATAGTCTTTAAAATTTATAATTATATTTCTAATTCATTAATTAATTAAAGTGGTATTTATGAAGTTTTGTATGAATTTTGAATAACGTTTGACAAAGAGATAGAAACTCTTGTATGTATGTATATAGTAATATTGGTCCTGTTGAACCCATTACTACCCTTCATATACAGCATTCATCAACATATTTTCCCGCCTGATCCAAATGTTGAAAACCATGCGATAAAATATCTTAATCATTAACAATATTCATCGATTTTTCAAGCAAAAATCGCTTAAAAGTAACTGTAAAACATGTTCATTAGATAAAAAATTATATCGCATCGCAAAATATTCATAATGTATGATGCGCATCGATACGAAACGAACAAAGTACAGATGTATAAGCGTTAATGTGAAATCGATAAAAAAAGTAATAACTAAACTGCAGATATTTATATAAAAATAGAAACTGTGAAAAACGCACAGAATATTTATGATATGTGAAAATATACAAACTATCCAAAGTAAGCCAGTATATTTAGAAAAAAGAATGATATTTAGAAATCGAAATAAATTTCTAAGTTCCACTTCTCTGATTGCGTTCAGAGAAACGTGAATTTACATAAACATCCGCAGTCTAGTAATAACTTTGTGCGTATGTGTCCCGTTAGTATCCAGGTGATTTAAAATTATTCTTGCAGTGGTGGTGACCTCCCGTGGTAGATGAAATATTCGCAATTGAACCCGGCAGAGTTTCGCGATTACCGCTAATTACTATAAAGATACAGTTGTACATATTACGGATTGTTGGTCGATTAATAAATCAGTAAGTTCTGTTCAGGCTTGTGACTGAAAGCAAAGTGCAAAGTTACCCCGATGCTTCTGCGTGCTGGTCTGTTGTGTGACGTCGTACTGTCTTTTAATAGTCAGCCCCTGTGACCGGTTTTTCCGTCGTTAACAAGACACCGTTGTACGTTGAGACGCGCCCTCGTCCGACCTTGAAACCTATAATCGTTCATAGCGTTCGATGTTCGAAACATCGTCTACAAAACTATTAATCGTGCTCCACAGGTTCGAATCTTTTTTGTTTTCTTCGGCGCCTCGTTAACAAGAAGCAACAGTGAAATGGCAAAAAAGACGTACGATCTGTTGTTCAAGTTGCTGCTGATCGGTGATTCCGGAGTTGGCAAAACTTGTATATTGTTTAGATTTTCGGATGATGCATTTTCAACGACATTTATTTCTACGATAGGTAAGGAAAGTTGTCCAAATAATTATCATTCGTGGATTTCCTCGATCAAATTATCCATTATTGTGAATTTTTTTTCGGTATAGTAGGTTATGCTACTAAAATAATAATCATTGTAAACTGAAGTTAATGAACAATAAATAATTGAATATTGAAGTGTGATTGTCTTATTACATTAAGTGCATAGAGAAATTCGCGTTTCTGAATTAATATTTTGACAACATTGTCATCAAAGTTGATTGTTTTATGTAAATAAATGCTATTATACTGTGGAGTATGTTAGATATATGAATAATATGCTTTCTGTCACTTAGGTATCGATTTTAAGATCAAGACAGTGGAATTAAGAGGAAAGAAAATCAAGTTACAGATATGGTAAGTTGTAAAATATTAAATTAATCTAAACAGTCCTTAACCTGTATATTTACAGGGATACAGCCGGTCAAGAAAGATTTCATACCATTACTACATCATATTACAGAGGTGCAATGGGTATTATGCTTGTTTATGACATTACTAATGAAAAGACATTTGAAAATATTGTTAAATGGCTGAGAAATATAGATGAAGTAAGTATGATTGCGAACTTTTTTGTCTATACATAAATATAGTCATTTACAATCGTTATTTATTTTTTCTTTTTAATTAATTTTAGCATGCGAATGAAGATGTGGAGAAGATGATACTGGGGAACAAAAGCGATATGGAAGACAAACGTGTTGTTAGCACAGGAAGAGGGGAAGCGGTAAAGCAGCTATAATTTAAATTGTACGTAAGTTACAAAAATGTCACAAACTAATAAATTAATATCCTCCTTTAGATAGCGCGAGAGCATGGAATCAGATTTATGGAAACATCTGCAAAAGCAGATATTAATATCGACCGTGCATTTAATGAATTAACCGAAGCAATATTGGAGAAAACACATGGAAAGGAACCACAAGATGCTCCTGATAGAGTAACGGTTGATCGAAGGGTGGAAAGGAATTCTAATCGGTGCTGCTAATCTTATATTATTTATTTTAACAGCGCATAATATACTATATATCAGCTCGTGCCACTCAAAATAGATCTGTGGATAGATTTAGAGCATAATTTAAAAAAGCATAATAGTATAATTAAACTCTTCACAACACTGCCTAATCAAATTCGATTGTACTTATTTAATGAGATTTCTGATAAAGATATATCTAAATTTATTTCAAAAAATATAAAAGGAAGTAACTCCAATTTGGAAGTGAAGTTTTTTAATTATACCTGGATTTCAAAGGGTGGGTTATAAATGCTATTTGTCACATATATGACTGTATACTTATAAATGTACTTATAAATGTGTCTATTGCATGTATACAAGCATTAAGCTCCATCACAGCTTTTATAAAAAACACAAAAAATCAATAATATATACTGCTGATGGAGCTTTGTTTTCCACGTGAAACTTCATGCGTTGTTGCACGAACAAAGTCAACTAGGAACAATTTGTTTGTTACGAGGCTGCAATTTGTTACCATAATGAGAAGAGTGAGAATGAATGAGGGCTTTCGATCTTAAAAAAATCTATGTGAATGCTTTTTCATACGGACATTGCACTACATTGCTTATTTACATCTTAAGTTAAAATCTAAAAGCTTAAGTCCAAGAGCTTTTATCCTACTTGTGTAAGACTAATTTACTACAAATATAAATATTCACGATTTCGAAGTAATTGTTTTTGTTTTCCTTCGCAATACATTTAACTTATAGTAATAGATACTTGATAAAAACTGGCTTTATACGTAATACGTCAATAGTAGTGCTACGAATAATTATCACAATACATAAATTTTCGGTTTTTATAATGTATTAGTAAAATGATTAGTACTTGTGATAGTGATTTTAATACTGGTATCGGAATATGCATCGAATATATATAGGGAAACGAATATACGTGGATCGGAAGTGTTTCAATATGGCCAAAAGGGACAATCTATGATAGAAATGCACGCCTATCATGGGGAAATTTAATCAAATACTTTACAGACAATATGCGATAGTGTTTACAATACTCCATTTAAGGAAAATAATCGAAATAAGTAGATCATACGTTGTCGAAGATATGTTTCCCCTAAATTATTTGTTTAAAGAAAAAGCAAAGAATTAAAAACGTTGTGTCTACTATCGATTAATACTAAACAGAGGGAAGGTACAGAAATTTAAATATTTTCGTATTACGTTCAAAACTTCACTGTAAGAAATGTACAAAAACTTTGGTATTGAGCGATGATGTTATAAACAAAGCGAATATCTTATTTGTGAAAACAAATAATATATGGATATGTATGTGATAGATAATATCCTATAATCTATATTTGTAATCAATTGTATAAGAGATAGTAATCGTTGTATCATCATTTTTTAAAATACGGAACTAGTATCAGTTTACTGGTACTTCTATCTATGATGAAAACGTACGAATGGTTTAATGTTTGTCAGGTTTGGATTATTCAGTTCTCACGTGCGTTTCCAAGGATTAGGATTCGAGTTCTCTCGTCTGGAGGCCAAAAATTCCAAACGCAACACAGCAGAATTTAGAAGTCGAAAAATCCAAACATAACCCATCAAAAAGCGTTTGGAAGGATTAGGATTGAATTTTTCCCAAAAGGGGGGTATGGAAATCGCCGATGCAGTGTTAAAAATGTCAGCCACAAAATGCACAATAAAACGAAGGTCCCCTAGCGACCAAAGGCTGGACTATATGCACATTTCTTCTCAGATGCTAAGAAATAAGCGTATTCGGGGCGGAATGGAAAATGTGCACTCGTACCAGCAGAGGGTAAGTATAAAGAAAATATACAAAATGCTTGGAAGTTTCACTAAATATTGGAAATAAATTGCTTTTTACGTTTTGTTTATAGAAAAACTACTAAAAAGCACACAAACTAAAAAATGAAATTGCAAAATAATTAAAATGACACTAAATTTAACAGTTCTCAAAAATTCGGAGAAGCGATGTGAAATTCCAGTTATGAGAATAAGTACCACTACCAACAAAATTACATCGATTATAAAATCGGTCCAGAATTTTGATCAGATTTACGTCTTGAATATGCATTTGAAAGTTGAAAATCTCAAAGATGGCCTCTTGAAAACGCATTTGATCTATAGAAGCAGACAGTAAATTATTAAATAATGGTTTAAAATGCTAAAGAAACAAAATAATTATTATAAATAGGGGAAAGTTTACAATTGACTAATACGTATAAATATGAGAATAAACGATGTTGTGATGTGTACGCAGCTTGTAAATATAGGTGTCGATAAGGAAAACAATAGAAAGTTTCAATAGAAGTTTCTTTCGCTAAAGTACATATTTTTAAGCTGCCATTTAAGATCTCACCCTACATGAGTAATTTATTAGTTTTATATCACATTTGGAAATACCGTGAAGATAAATTAATGATTCGATCGCTGTAGATAAATTATCGTTCAGTGGTAAAGCTGCGAAACTCCATTTTCGTCCTCATTTTAATGCCGCAAGGTGTTTTAGTCAAACTACTAAGAGCTTTTACGATCAAAGCGATAGCAAATCGATCAAATTAAACTGGCGATATTAAGAAAAATCGAAGCAAAGTAGTTAACTGGTAAGGAAATAGAATATAAAGTAATTATCTTATTCGATATTCATATTGCATATTTCGCGTCTTTCCAGACTTCTCGCATCCTATTACCGATGGATTCTGTTGGACCGTCGATTCGTCGATCAATTTCAGAAAACAAATTTTACAGTTTGACCGTACGCATTCGTGCAGCGTTCTCCTTCGACACGATTACCCTAAATATCTCCAACAGCATGAAGCTAAAAGATTCAGGCGTAGTGTACGTGTATTTTGGATGACAGCGACTGTGATAGATATCGCGTGGGCCAAGGACAGTTTCACTCGTGTTCCATGACAAATTCGGAAGGTTAGCTAGCCTTTCGCGTAACGATGACACGGATCGAAACGTGTACGGGGCGCGCGACTGATACTGGGAATGGTGCGGGCTCGCGCGTCCGCTAGCTGGATTCGTTTCCCGGGACGGAACGTTCTCGTTACCTCGTGATAACGTCACTTCGGGCATGTGTAGAAGGGTGAAACTCGACTTAGTTCAATACCGGACGCCGAGGCGTTCGGTCCGTCTGAAACGTTTGAGATTTCTACTCGGACGGGACGAATTACAGATTACATTTGAGACACGCGTTTTATTCGTCTGTGCGCGACAGAAAGTCAAACCGAATTTTGAAATATAATAAAGTAACTTCGTTGCTGGTTGTTCGCGATATGCGTATTTTTAAAATATTTCTAGACTCGCGCATCCCCTTCTGGTATATACGCAAACAGAAAAAAAGAGAACTGTTTCACCGTTGTTCCTCGTCGCGGAAAGAGAAACGGTAAGATGAAATTCCGAACGATACACTTTGTATACTTAACCGAGCCTATCAACGTATCGATACATGCTTCCTCTTTTCAAATATCGACGATTTATCTATCGGCCGTTTTAATTTCGTTAAAAAATCTAATTTTCCGTTAAACTTGCTGCTTTCCGTTCTTCGATAAATTTCACTTCGGATGGAAACGCGGTTATTCTCTTTGATCGAATATACCAATTAATTCGATCGTTGATACTCGAATATTGTAATGCGATTATCGTTTGTCGATGAGAAAATAATACGTCAGGCTGTGCGACATATAAATATTCTATCAGGTAGAATTGGACGTTCGATTTCTCGAAATCATTGGTACGGATTGGAACAGGATTGCTCCTCTTTCAAAGCTGCTGCAACCCTGCGATTATTATACATTGATAATTATAGGGAACGAGTGACAGCAACCGTGGGCTATTGTTTGCAAATATTTTCAACGTCGTTGAGCATTAAATGTAGCGGAAAATGTGTTTACAGCAAATTGATCTACCGTGATTAAAGGATTCACCTTTTTTTACGAAAAGATCGTGCACGCTCTAGTTGTCGCCGCTTACCACATTCTGTGGACGCTGCAGACACCGATACCGATATTTCCGCGCGTTTTCCGATAATTCGCCATAAATAAACGAATAAATAAAGTTATCCGTGTAATTTGAAGGAAATGGAGGAATTCCGTACCAATGATCGATGTATGTATTTTGCGTTTTCATCGCCAACGCGTCGTTTCGACAAAAGAAAAAAGTAAATGGAAAGAGGAAAAAGGGGCAAAAGTGAAAGAGAATGTCGCTTATACGATTAGGAGGTTGTTGCAGTTGAAATTCAAAGGACATTGGCATTTTACCGTGAGGCCAGTCGAGAAAAGAAAATTAGAAGAACAGAAGAAAAATTGTCTCTTTCGGTCTCGATCTCTCTTTGTTAAAGTCTGTTAAACGTAGGGCTACGATAATAAGAGAGTATAACGGTACGTAGCTGACGATACGTCGTACGATCCGTTGGTGGGGCGGCTCCAGATTTTTCGGTTTCCGGATCTAAACGATCGTTTTATCCCGTACACAGCGAAGATACGAAAAGAAGGCGAATACGGAGACAAATAGATACGGGTCAATAGGTTAGCTGCTGAGGAAAAAAGCGAGCAGCGAGTAAGCTACGGGGCGAAAACGGTAAACAGGGTGGTTACAGGCCCATGGCCGGGAACTCTTTTCGCCGGCTTTGGTCGTGGATCTCGATCATGATCCTGCCCGGATGTTTGTTTTCTTTGAATGGTGAACAAGTTCCATGCGTTCCTTATTTGTCGGATACGATCGACGAGAATTACAACGATAGCAAAGCGGAAGTAATGCTCTTCTTAAGAGAAGATTGCAACAGCGAGACGAATACCAGCGATATGGCCACGGATATTCAAGACTATTTCGATCGATTTAATTTCGACGTGCAGATCACCGTTATACCCTTATCGCGTGAGTATCTCGCTAATACGCAGCATCCTTCTATTCGTAAATTCTTCGTCACGCTGTATCCGTCCTTGTCACGCATACATAAGTAATACACCGCTACATTTCCGTGTCTATCGTAACGGAATCGAAGGGATCCAACCTTTTTCTCTGCTCCCTAGTGTCGTGCGAAACGAAAACTTGGGGTCTCGACGCTCTGTTACGTGTACTTGGTGAAAGAAGAGCAAAAGCTCTCGTAGCCGCTCTCGACTCACCTATGTGCGAAGTTACCGTTAAACTCGCGCATCTCTGGAACATGCCGTTGTTCACATGGACTTGTCCTTTGGTAAGCGAATTAAACACCAAACAGTAGCACATACGCCCTCTTCGTTCCGATTCTTTCGTTCCCAACGTTCTATGCACGTAAGCAAGTAACTTGAACCTAATCGTAAGTACGTCGTACAAACGTTCCGACCGATATATACGTACGCAATCACGGTAATCGTTTCAGAAAGACTCGGAGGAAAGGCAAGTTTCATCGATCGTTAGGCTGTCGCCGTCGTTACCTATGATAGCGAAAGCCCTCGCGGAGATGCTGATACACTTACAATGGAAAACCGTAGCGATAATAGGAACAGGTAAATTTTCATTTCTGTTTTTCCTTTCGTCGGTAATATCGTATAATCGTCGTAGCGTTACTTTACACTTCCGAATCGACGGAGATCTGCGAAAAAAGCAGCCGCGCGATCGACCTTAACCTTGAAGTTCAACATCAAATTTTCTTTATCGCATCGCATTCCACTCACCGCGAGAATGAAAAGTCTGGAAGAAGTCAGATGGCTTGCGACTCAACTGTTTTTCCTTCGAAATAGTTCATCGTTAAATCGTTCGCACGACGATTCTCGGCAGATACTTAAGGTATCCCGAGAATCTCGATCGCTGCTGATACTTTTCGATAGATCGAAGGATGATCGACGCGGACGATGCATATAGGCGATACACTCGGGAAAGAACTAGCCTGTATATCTTGTTTGCGGAAACGTATCTCGTATCGTATACGTATCGCGTGTATCGCGTTAGCGTTTTGGATAAATCGTAGCGCGTTTATACAACGCCGCAGATGATATTCTTCTCGAGCTCGCCTACGGACGAGTATGAAATTACGGGCGTGTAAATATACGTACACGATGTTACAGATCACGAGCCATGGATGAGTCTCGAAAGAGCATTGTTGAACTCTTTGCAAAGTATCGGAGCTGTAGTACGACGACGCGCGGTATTACCACGGCGAGCTTCTTTCGAACAAATTCGAAAAATTCTTCGCACCGTTTACAAGGTTTCTCGCAGAGGTGAGCATCACTTTTGTACTCTTTTCTTTCGTACGTTTCAACTTTCGATCGAATTGCTTTGGCTTTTGTTGGTTCGTCCAACTTACCTCGACGCCTTTTAAAACGCTTTTTTAAATGCTTATACATACATATATCGCTATCCGTGTGTACACCGTAACGTGTTAATGCGATTCAAATGCGATTCACGATTTCATTTTCGATTGCACGCAGTTACGGTGTTATGTCTACCCACATCCGACGAAGACGGATTAATAACTCGTGTCCTCTCCGAGATAGATAACGTACAGCAAACCTCTAATTCCATGTGGGACTCTATGACCGTGATTGTTCATACGGAAGACGATGACCTCTTTCTACCAGCCGGAAACACTTCGATTTCTTATTTCGATTCAGCAACGTCCAACGTTTCGCTGGCGACTCTAACACCCTTGAATCTCTCTGACTCTGCCTTGAACGTGTCCTATGAAACGACATTCGACGACTACGATGACAGCGTAGCGGTAGCAGACACGTTGGAGGAAGCGGAAGAGCAAGAAACCAGACAACGACCATGGAATAAATCAAAAACAAGTAACCGATTCCACCCGCCAAGAAACTTGAGCTCAACTTTTCTAGAAAGATTGATCACGATAACACCCCTCGATTACAGGTACGGTCAACTTTTATTCAAACTGTTGCCACCTTCTACTTATGTAATTTATATAACGCGTGTACATGTATAACAACCTGTTGAAGATGGATGATAAACCGGAAGCGTATGCGTTCTTCTACAGATATGACGTAGAAAAAGTATTCGAGGGCGTAGAACGATATATGGTACCGACGTTGATGGACCGTTTGAACGAAACTCTTAATATCTTAATGAACGACAATTCTAGTATAAATGCATTCAATAACAAGATCTACACGTACGTTATGCTGGACTGGCGTGTTGACGCCTGGAAACCTATAATGATCACCGTGGAAGGACGTGAAAAATTGTTTGTTCGAAAGTTATCGACGAATGCGGTGGCATTTCGTAATATGAACGACACTGATCTTCCGAGATGCAACATCGATGTCAACGGGATTCCCTTTATCGATTGTACAGGTAAGAAAGTAAGAAAAAACAAATCGACTGATATTATCTTCGTATCTACGTTCCTTCGTTGAAATTAAAAGAGATGTTCATAAAGCGGCGTGTAAAATTAGAATTTGTCGGGAAACGTTGGCTCAACGTATCGTTAAATTTCGTTAAATCTAAGTATCCATATCCAAGATAATTGGATCACGGATTAGGTGAAATTTTTCTATGAATTTTCTAAAATATCCACTTTTACAGAGAATACTTCCGACGAATCAGCATTGCGTATCGCACATATCGTGACCATCATCCTGGGGTCGCTCTTACTAACTGTGTTCGCAATATCGGTCGCAATCTTGATTAGGTAACGAATCGATCTATAATATACATCTAAAGTACTATTTCCCTTGGTATTTTCCGAGTAACCACGACTTATCTTGTGTAAATGTCATCAATGTGGTAATCGAAATATCCTTTGAAACTCAGAAAGAAGTTGCTTAAGAAGAGAATGTCCAAGGGTACGTACAAGATCATTTTAACCACGTCGGATTTCGTATTTCCTCAAGTGCCTCAAGTAGATTCCAGAAGGGTAAGTCGATAATCTGCAATGCGAATTTCATGTATATAAAATTTCCCACGAGGAACAAAGTTGACGGCAAGGTGTGTAGGTGGACGAGGGTATCGAGAGAATGTTATGCTGTTGGTTGCAACAACTGCAAGAGTTTGGTGGACCCGAAGTAGAAAAGCCAGATCTACTTCAACTAGGTAGCGTATCTTCCCTGAAACCATGTTTACGAACTAGCACAGGAAATCTGACGCGTCATAATTTCTTGAAGGATCCTCGTGCAAGATACAACGTGAGTATACGCGTATGAAATTAACGAATGAATACGTATTCGTATGGATAGAGATACCTGTAATTGTCCGTCCGGGACCATGCAAGCAATATACAATTTTCTGTTATGTCGCGTTCATGGCAGGGTGACTTTGTGCAACTGAAAGAACTACCAACTCAGGGTACGTTTGAACTGAAAAGCAAAACTATGGATGTATTGGCCATGGTAAGAATATTCTGCCATTCGACGATATCGCCGACTATTAACATCGAGATGAGATAACAAGCGTTTGACAATCGCGTTTTTTCTCTATTATCGATCGTAGATTCATGGTCTGCGTCATGAGAATCTCAATCCTCTGATAGGATGTTTGAACGAACCGACAAGACCGTGCCTTGTTTACGAATATTGTTCAAGAGGATCGTTGGAAGACGTACTGGTGCAGGACGAGATCAAGCTCGATTGGTCCTTCAGATTGTCGTTCCTCACCGATCTTGTGCGGGTAAATAAAAGAATCATTTGCAATTTTTTAATCGCGTACATTGCGTACGGCGCCCTGTTCGCTCAACATGCTTCCAAGATCAGCACGTTATTAAACGCTTGAAGAAACCTTCATACAATGCATAGTTACGGTTTTTAAATTCACATTTACAAAGTATTATAACAATAAATCTTTCATTTTGCTACTTTCTTAGAATTAGGATCTATTTAGTAAGATAATTAAGAAACTGTTTCCTCGAAAATTAAAACGCGGACTTTCGAATAGCGAAGTATTGTACGACGATGAAACGCTTTATAATGTACGATGCACGATGTAACGGCGATATTCCGCGTACATTTATTTCGCTAATCGTTTGTCATAAGAATATACAAGGCTTCGTTATCTTGATGACGTAACGAAAAAATTGATTTTTAATTGAAATTTATTGATTTCTGTTTAAAGGGCATGAGATATCTTCATGGTACACCAGTGCGTGTACACGGTTATCTTACTTCGCGAAATTGCGTCATCGATGCTCGCTGGGTTCTCAAGGTAACCGATTATGGACTGCCTGTTTTTCACGAAGCACAAAATATCGTTCCTCCGGCAAAAACCGCTAGGGGTATGACGATTCCCGTTAGTTTTTTTATACAAAAGAAATGCAAATTTCGAACGACGGAATAACGTTTTTCCTAACGCGTTCGCGTTTAGATCTTTTGTGGACGGCACCCGAACTATTAAGGCAACCAAATCTTCGAAAGAAGGGAACGCAAGCCGGAGATGTTTACAGTTTTGGTATTATTATGCAGGAAGTGGTAGTCCGCGGAGAACCATTTTGCATGCTCGCTTTGTCCCCGGAAGGTAACTAACGAAATGAAAATCCTTTGTACCGACCGTGCAAGTTTCTCCATAGAAATTTATATATACCTTCCTATATGCAGATATCATCGAGAAAGTGATGAAACCACCGCCACTGATTCGGCCGTCCGTAAGCAAAGGTGCCGCACCACCGGAGGCGATAAATATCATGCGTCAATGTTGGGCAGAAGCAGCGGACATGAGACCCGATTTTAACGATGTTCACGATCTCTTCAAGAAGCTTAATCATGGAAGGTAAATGGTTATTATGTTTCTGTATACCTAGCCGTTCTTAGCGCTACTGTAGATCGTTGTTCGTTTCACACATCTAGTTAATCTGTATCTGTAGAAAAGTCAATATCGTCGATACGATGTTTCAAATGTTGGAAAAGTATTCGAACAATCTGGAAGAGCTAATACGCGAGCGCACCGAACAACTCGACATGGAAAAGAAGAAAACGGAACAGCTATTGAATCGAATGTTACCCAGGTAAATAGAGATATCTTTTGTGTTTCATCGCACGTCACCTCGCTTCCACCCACCCTACTTCTCTCTCTCTCTCTCTCTCTCTCTCTCTCTTCCCCCTACCTTTCTTCCTTTGGTACAGAATCGAACAATAGGCGTATAGATGTACCTATATTTACCTATTGATATTTTAAGATTGGCGGCGTATCAAACACGCAATGACCTTTTAGCTCTGTTGCTGAGAAATTGAAGCTGGGCATGCCCGTTGATCCTGAAGAATTCCGTGAAGTAACAATCTATTTCTCGGACATTGTTGGCTTCACGACCATCTCTGCACACTCGACCCCGTTCCAAGTAGTCGATCTTTTGAACGACTTGTATACCTGCTTCGATGCCACGATCAACGCATATACCGTATATAAGGTGATGGAATGCAAGGACGCAATAGACACAGTACATGGTCGATAAGTGAAAAAGCGTGATCGATTTTTATTCGATGATAAGAAATCTCCGCGGAGAATATCGATACGTGATCGTATCTGTGATCGTGTTCAATGGAAAAGAAAATCATTCTCTTTCTTCGCCGTTACAGGTGGAAACTATAGGAGACGCTTACATGGTCGTAGGTGGCTGTCCGGTAAGAATACCAGACCATGCTTCTCAAATAGCTACCATGGCCCTCGATTTACTGCACCAAAGCGGAAAATTCAAGTTGAAACATCTGCCAAATACGCAACTGAGACTTCGAATTGGCCTTCATACCGGTTAAGTGTCGTATCATCTACGTTATAGAATACGTCGTCCTATTGCGTTAATACGTATATGTACGTTTTGCGTTAACGGCGTATCTCGATTACGTAAACGTAGGTCCCTGTTGCGCCGGTGTTATTGGCCTGACTATGCCAAGATACTGCCTTTTCGGTGATACCGTTAATACCGCATCGAGGATGGAGTCTACCGGTGCACCATGGCGTATCCACCTCAGCCAAGTGACAAGAGATCGACTGATTCAGGCGGGTGGATATCAGATCGAATACCGTGGACGGACAGAAGTTAAAGGCAAGGGAAAAATGCCTACTTATTGGTTACTAGGGAAACAAGGCTTCGATAAGGAACTTCCAAAACCACCCACGCTCGGGTAAGCCTTTATACTCGTTCAGTTCTTTTATTTCTTTTGTTGAAAGCCACTTCTATACAACGTACGTGCATATATTTATGTCCATAATGTAGAAAAAGAAAATATTTCGTTCGTTTCCCTACCTATTTACCTCATTTACTTCTTTCTAGATAATTCTATCGATCCGATCTCTATAAGTCGATCTGACTACCCTGTCTTCTCTTTGCCTTTCCCTTTCATTTTTCGCTATCGATTCGATCGTCTCGTTCATCGAACATCGTCGCATCCAAAACTATACGTACGACGAATTAGAAGATACGGTCGAATGTCGATTGTCCTTCTTTTCTCTTCTCCTTCTTTTCTCCTTCGAATGTTCAACGTCGTTAAGTGTGTGCTAACGTTCATTGCATCTGCATCGTATACTTTGATTTGGTAGATCTTCATTGGAGCCGTTTGCTTTTCAGATTTTTAATGCTTTTATCTGTTGCCATTCTGCCGCCATCTTCAGGGAAAACCATGGGTAAGTGAAAAATCGGTAAATACGATAATGCAACCGTAAGAAACGATCAATTGCGTTTTACGCACGTACACGGTACACGTGCAAATGGAACGATCGCGTGGATACATGCGCGAACATACATATACGTATGATAAAATGATTTCTATGTAAAATATCGATGTTTAATGACAAACGCGCACGTATCCTCGAATACGGATAGTATAACGGACAAGCGATCCTTCCTCCACCCTCTAAATAAGAATCCAATTAACGACTAATTTGATATTTGATGATTTTCAATTTCCCACGCCAAAGGCTGAACGAGAGTCTAATATTTGAGAGCTCGATGAACGAAGAAAGCATCGTATCGGCAGACGGCACGCCTATATCCATGGCTTTGTCTTGCGAAGATACAAAGGAGGAGGACGAACGCAAAAACCATAACGAATGTCGCAACGTAAACGTCGACGATGTCGATACAGCCAGAAATATCGATAAAAATGCAGAGACGTGTAAAGTTGCAGTGTCTGTGCACGATAAACAAGTTCAGGATTCAAGTTCTTCCTCGAAACCAGCGCCAGTTTTACCGTCGAAGACAAAACCGGACGAAAAAGAGAACGACGACGCGAATCCAGCTACCGTCGTCAAAACTACCAGCGATACTCAAGCGGCTCTAGGAACATCTGCTATATTTTGTACGGAAACAGCCGTTCTTGGCGCATCTACCACTTCCCTTACGTCGATTTCAAGCTCGGCTACGGTCCCTTATAGACCGGGACCGCCAAGACATCGAAGAATAGCTGGTTATATCGATGAGAACGACTTGAGCACGCCATACAATCATTACAGATGTCTGTCTCCGAACGAACATTATGGCAAGTCTTGATATTTCTCAGCTTTCTCTATTTGATCTGAAATTATCAATCCAACTGACCATCCATTCGATTCCCTTAGGAAGAAGTACAGGTTGTCGTTTCTTGAAGAGGCAGTTCAGTCTGGATCGGCCCGATGAAACCGCCTGCCTTGGTTTTACCGAACCGGCCAATTATCAGCCGCAGCTTCAACACCATCATTATCAGCAACAGCAACAAAACACGAATACGGCACCAACAAGACTGTACAAACAAAACAGCGCGGGCGCAGCGAACGACTTGGAACGTATCGAAGAGGTTCCATCTACTCCGGCACCTCTTCTTCATCACTACAGACAAACCGCATCCGTTTCTCTCTCTGTCGAGTCTTTAACGCTTCGTTGATAAATGTTCCACTTTAGTTGGTCAAAATGTCGATCAGTGAGCACCTGCGACTAAAATCTCACAAAAAAATATGACAATCGTCACGAATATTCGTGAGTCATCGGATATGCTGTATAAACGATATTACATTTTTAAAATGATAAAAGAACAGTCGTGTCGGTCATCGTGAAAATGAGAAATTGTATCGGTCCTCTTAGAATTCTTTCTTACAATTTTACGATACTGATAATAGATCGACGTTTGATCTATGATCGATCGCTGATTACGGTCGTCGAGTATAGAGAAAAGTTTATACCCATTATCGCGGATGACAATCTCCGTTACATAGAGACACGCGTATGTGTATATGCAGGCTTCGCGTTGTGTTCTTCGCATAGGAAACATGTACAAACTCTGTAATTCTGCGTTTCTTCCGATCCGTATTTCCTCGGTCGTTTCGCTTCCTAAGAATGAATACGAATCGCCAATAGTATACAGAACGTTTATAAAAACGTTGAACGCTGATTACAGGATCGATTCCGTTGTGGATGAAAGTTGATGCGTAAAAACGACGAGGCTTCTTTTCCAAGTTATAAATAATTTAATCTTGCGCTGCGAATTGCGTTTGTACACGCGCAACCCACCTTATGCCAGTGCAAGTAAATACTTACTTGCACGTTCGATCGAGCGACAGGGAACCGTATCACGATGTCACTTGCCAAGCAGGGCGCCTCGACGAAAAATATTCAAGGCACATAATCGTATCAGTTCAGATACGATCGACTGACGAAACGAAATTTTAATGCAATGCACACGCAACGGTGCGTATATCGTTGTAAAAAAAAATTGAAGAAGACTCGCAATACCTTCTATTTTCTTATTCGAAGAAAGGTGAACGCATACGAGTCGCATAGGTTTACGGTGATTCAGCGTTGTAAGGTAGTGTCTTATAGCGCTCGGTTGAAAATCGTAAACGAATCGTTGCATCACATTTGATCTGCCTACTTGCTGAAATCCACAGAATCACATTTAAAAACTCGCTCTATAGCATCATTTAAATATTGCGCGTTAAAATATATTCACAGATATGGAAAATTCTACGCGTACCACGAGCCTCTGTAAAAGCTACACAACATGTACTACGCACACCTGTTACCTACCTGCTGTCGCTTACATTTTGCACACGGATTATTTGATAAAAACTTCCTTCGAGATCGACGAAACTTTGTTCCTAAAATTTTATTCCGCTGTACATCTTTAAGTTTCGAGTGTTCGGCTCGTTCATTTCGAACGAAGAAAACGAGAAATATTAAATGTACACCGGTGTAATTAATACAATATCGATGTCGTTCGAATTGCCCACTTTCTTTTTATCAATAACCTTTCTTTTATCAATAATACAGTTAATTACGACTTGGAACGAAACGTTGCGTGTTTCTACATAAGATGCATAATGCTGCGAACAATCCAACAAAGCGAAATCTTATCGTTAAGATTGTTCTTAAAAATCTTGCTGAAACGAGACAACACGCGAGACAAATACCTTATTACTGTAATGGAATTGCATGTGATTTGGCAAGCAACTAAGCGTATTCGCACCATTTCCGTACAGCAAGAGAAGAAGTTCGTTATTTTCTCATGAATGTGTGCGCGACATCGTCGTCCCCGAATCGTCGTCGACAATAATTCAAAAACCTACGATATAAAGACGTAGGTATTTTTTTCTCTCTCTCTCTCTCTCTTTCTCTCTCCATCCTCCCTCTCTCTCCCTCTTTCCGATTTCCAATCGCGCAATTACCTATCGTAAAGATTAATTTCGCGAATTTTTCGAACGTAATGTGTACTTTGAGATTAAGGATAAGAAGATTAATAAACCGAACGATGCGACGTTAAACGCGCCAATTAAAAATTGCGTCCGTGCGCGACCTCACACGCAATTAATTACGATAAAACAGCACGTGCAAACGTGTTTTATGTGATCGTGCAATAATTTGTGTGTTAGATGTACGAATAAGTGTATATAGCGCACATAATGTATAGATGGACATTTTATAATGTTGCAAGCGTTCGTGAGCGAAAAATTATTAGGAGATTATCAACGAATTTTTCGCATCGCGAAGCTTATAACACGTATATATGTATATTGGAAAGAATCGTGATCGATAATAAGATGTAAAAATACGAGCGTTTATTTAACATTAAGCCATTTAAATCAATCATCTGACAAATGAACCACGTATCCGTAATTCGTTCTACGCAACGATGCGGCTAAGAACGGTGCGATAAATTAACGCAAAACGTGGAGCAGAACATACACATGGAAAGTAAAATTTGATCGATGATACAAGAAAATGAAACTCTTTTTCTATGTACTCCTTTTCTTTTCCCTCTAAGATAATTAAAGAGACGATGTTACTTTGTATTCGTCTTGACGCAATAATTCATTTTAAGCAATAAAACAGTATGATACCGCGTCGATTTAAATTTTAGATCGCCAGTCGCGAATACAACGTCGAGTATAGTATAAAATATTGTTTTGTCCTATTGTACGATGAGTCTTGAACGTATGCATAATTACATAGGCGTGCGTGTGTACATGAAAATAAACCAATACGAAGACGTTTTGATAGAAATTTCCTGGTACTTTACAAACTTCTTCTTGTTGGTCTATGCCGGCTATTGGATTATTATTTTTGGCCAATTTTACGTGATTACTTGCACCGATTGATGATTTCCATTGACATTACCAAGGCCTGAATAAAAAAATGAAGGAAACAGGAACGAAATTTGATTAGCATATCACACGCAGAAAAACGGCGATCCTTTGCCATAAGTTAAGCTTACCCGTAAGGAGAAGATTCCCTGTATTCGACATGTACCGGTTTAAAAACCGGAGTTGGCCTCTCAATTATTCTTTCCACGAAGACAGGTTTGTCAACGTATTCAACGTATTTTACGGATGCTGGAGGACTCGATACATAAACATGATGAACTTCTGGAGCCGTCTTATAACCAAGCTTGTACCTGGAAGTGATAAAATAAAGACAAGATATTAAACCAAGCATTTTGTAGATATTTCATTTTGTAGATATCTGATAGATATTCATAGAAACTGACACGAACTAGCTACGATTTGAGAAACGTTCTTAAGTAAAGGTTCGCTTTACGAATGGAAATGTTGTTCTTTTACCCTTTCACGGCACCTAAGCCGAAGCCCAAGAGTCCTGCACCGATAAGTTTTTTCTTCAGCAGAAGCGTTCTTTTTTGCCTGTTCAACGTAGCACCCGAATATTCTTCATTTTCTAATTGACCAACGGATCGATCGAGAATCGAGGAACGGCTCTCTGTCGATGGTAAAGCGTCTTCTTTGGCTATTATACATGGTACGATATAACAACAAACAACGGCAAGAACCACAATGCTAATTGGCTGCATCTGGCGAGAAGAAACGAAGAAAGATCACCGTTAAAAGTATTTCGGAATAAAATAATTACGTTGCTTATGGATTTCTCGTTGCCTTACCGTCGTATTTCTTTGTATTTCGTACGAGGGGCCTAGGAATAATGTTAAGCGTACGTTTTTAACTCGTATGGTACCTTTTCGATAGCCTCCTTTGTTTTTATATAGAGGCTTGCCTACCTTCGAAACGACGAATTCTCCCACCCACTCAAACGATCCAACTTACGTTCGTGTTCCTTTTTAAATGTTACATTACTCCGTTCTCACCACGTTCGAACCACTTGCGACACAACGATGAGGTGAAAATATCGGTGAAAAGCTCTTAAAGCTCGTAGCCTTTCTGTATTACGATACTTGTCCCTTTCGCTATTCTAAGCTACGTGTTTGTACAATTTTATAAGATGCCACTCACTGCAGAAAATGTGCAGCGAATGTGAACTGCGATTCTTTTTATCGTCTATCGACGATGTACAAAAATTCACACGCGTATATTACAACGAGCTAACGCGATTTTCGCTTAAACGTATCGTTGGTAGCATCTCTAATTTCCGTGATTGATTCTAACGGTTGAGCCAAAAAAGAAATAATTCAATAAGATAGTTAATATACAACGATTAAGCTGATATAATTAATAATAAATAATAATAATAATAATTAATTACGTATATATGTATATACGAGACGAGGAGAACAAAATCAATCGAACCGCATATCAAATAATGTATGTATGTTACGTTTGTTAACGTAACACCGGGTCGCACCTTTAATCGCAAGTGTCGCAAGTTTAACGAACAATCGCCGAATAGTAATGAATCCATTTCTATCATTTTCGGTTTACTTACATTTCCAGATGTCAATCGTTCAATGAATTAGGTAACGGAGTAGCGCGTGACAAGAATAACGAATACGGATCGCAAAAGAAAAAGGTTGCAAAAGTAAGAGAAAAGACGGATAAGAAAGTGCTTGCTTTTACAATGCTTCGAGTCATTAGGTATTCGTCGATGGAAATCCATCTCGTAACATTTTTAACCGCGTGCTTCACCTTGGTATATGAACCGATTGATCAATTCTTCTCGTACTCGAGTTTTGCCGTACAATCAAATACTTAAATCTATCGCTGTACGTTAAGAGTTACGAGATCGAAACATTCAACTAGCGAATAGTGCGAACAAAACGAAAGCTGAAAACGTGACGCTATGGATGAAACGGTACATTTTAGGAATAACAAGAAAATGACTTCTGTTCCCTTCTTTTCCTTCTTTTTTTTCCTTCTTTTTTTTCCTTCTTTCCTCTTTTTATTCTCGTACTGACCGTGTACGTACGTATTTAAATTGTAATAAATAACATTTTTTATTCTTTTATAAGTAAATTGTGTTAGAAACAAACTTAGAATATTATTACAATATAAAATAATATATTTTAAAACATAAAAGACAAATTTTGATACACCAATATCTTCTATAAATCGACTCTTTATCGCGTGCCGAAGTAATCGTGTGAATAACGACAAAATTATTTTCCAAAATTGTTATCCTTGTATTGATGAATATTAGACGTTACTTCCAACTTGGTCCGTAAGTGTATGGAACATAGTGATAGCTTGATGAATATCCACCTCCATAACCGCCGCCATAACTGGTACATATCCAAGGAATTCGTCAAAATTATATATACACGTTAAACAAGAAACATGATTGACAGTAAAAGAAAACTACTAAAATAAATGTATACATATACATATATAGAATACCCTGAAAATATACTCACTATTTAGCTTTGTACAAACCAGCTCCAACAATTCCAGCACCAAGAAGAGCCTTTGCTCCAACGGCGGCACCGCCCAATAAAAGTGCTTTTTTACCAACTAAGGCTGCTCCCGCGAGCAAAGGCAAGTGAGACACGGGAGCTCTTTTCACGCGAATCGCTTTTCCTTCCACAATCTGATCGTCCCGTATAATAGAGAGACGATTTCCTCCGTGCGCAATCGATAACATACGAATCGGATCAACGAGCAATACCACCAGTATAAAAAAGTAAAACGACTTCATCTAGAAAGCAAAGACGACGAAATTAGAATTTTCCATGTGGTTACGAAAAGAAGGAAAAAAAGGACAGAAAGGGGAGGAAAAAAGAATAAGGAAAAGAACGTGGAACCGAGAAGATATGGAAATTCGTAAGGATGAAAATTGTAACAAAGAATCGTAAAAAATCGTTATGTGCGAGAATGAGAAACAATGAGTACTAACCTCGTCAAGATTGACAGACTCGCGACAAAGAAAATATTCCGATGCTTGAAACCGTGCGAATCGCTTTTATATATGAGAAGCGCAGATTTTATCCCTTCCATATCATTAACGCCTATTTCTAGTTTTAGAACCGGAATTTAGCAAATCTCCTTCCTTCTCTTCGACTTATTAAGAGCCATTTTTGCTTAGGTGTATTCCCTTTCTTTTAATCGGCGCGACCAATTAAAATTACCGAATCTTTTTCATCGCATTCTTCCTTAATTCGATGCCACGATGCAGCGTTTATGCATTTTATTTATGAAACAGTATTAAAACTGAGAATTGGATATCGTATATGAAAGACGACACTCACGGAGAATTCGAAAAAAAGACTACGGGACAGCGTGCTAACTATCGGCTTTCACTGAACAGTGCAAACAGTCGATTCTTTAATTCCATGGCCTTGAAGATTCCAATACCGGTGTACGAATCACGGAAGAAGGCAGAGCGAGATGAGTGGAATGAGACGCAACATCTTTAGAGAATTGTATGTAAAAACGCTTACGTATACGATATTACGGTTATCATTTGAAATTTGAGAGGATGATTAGATCAGGCATATTTCACGCATTTATCCAGCAATTATGCGATATCGAACATCTGTAACGACGCGATAACGATTGTTACGTATCGTACGATACGCCTTTTCAATGTGTTGAAAACTACTTTACCAGCAATAAAATAGTAACCGTTACGATAGATGATAATAAATATCGATAATATCGAAAGAGATATTCTCGATTGGTCGAAAAAGGAGAGTCGTACGTTTACAGATGAAAATCGAAACTTAAAGGATATAGGTTAATCTGTAACGAGACGTGGAGGAAAGAGAAAAAAGATCGTAAGAGCGTGTTGGCGAAGGTTGACTTAAACGATAAAATGGCTCCTAAATCGAAACGAAAAACACGGAACAAATCAAACGGTCAGAAATCAGAGCAAGATTTCAAACGAGAAACGCTCTTACGTGAACTTAAGCTCAGCGCTTTGAATACGGAACGTAATCGACGTTACTGGAGAGAAATGCTTACGCGTGTAAAAATGCCGGATATCTCGAAGAAGATAGACATAACTTGGCAAATTCTAGAACATGCCTTCGACTTCAAGGACTACAGGTACGATACGATGTGATAAACGAGCCATTGGAATATATTATATATATCCTCTGTACCTCTACAGCATCGGCTTATTATTGGACAGTCTGCAAGAAGCCGAAAATCAACGACGAACGGCTAATGGTGCCCACGTAGAGATAATCGATCGATCCTTAGAAATACACGAAACTCGACTAACAGAGGCCGACACGCTCTTCTATGGAAATATGAAAACGGCGTTAGCCGATAAAACCTTTCAGTTTGAAAATATCAATTATTATCGAAATAAGAAAGAAACTGCTTTACGAAAAATTAACTTGTTCTTAAATCATCGAGGTGAAAATGCAACGAATGTCGCGAGAAGTACTGCCATTAGTAAGATATATTACCTACTAACGTTTTCCATGCTTGCAGAATCATATATCATTCTCACACGATTATCTCTTTCTTGATTACTAAAAGGATACCGTATTACTTTCGGGACAACGATTTCAGACATTAAATTACTTGATACATTTTCCAATTCTAAGGTAAAATCAACACATTCGTGGAAGATAGAGAAAACGAAAAAAGGATAGTTACAACGCAACTTCAAAAAAGATTAGAGAATCTATGGAACGATTTGCGAAATGTTTTTTCTGATTATCGTAAAAGTATGTAGATATTATTCTCTCTCTCGCTCGTATATACATATACATATACCCTCCCTAATAGGTACAGAAGATCGACGAAAAGGTTATGAGATTGTCAGAAAAAAGGATCAGACCGATCAACAAATGATAACTCGACAAAATATGCGTATCGCGATTCTTCTCGACGAGATCATGAAATTTCGTAGCAAGATTAATTCTTACAAGATAGAATCTATAATTGAACTACAAGAAATGACAAAAGAATCAAATTTCTTTTATAATGCCTATCGAGAAACGAACGAACGTTTTATCTTTGGTACATATGTTCGATACATCTTTCCCTTAACCATTTACGCTACCAATAAACTCACGGTTGCACGTGTCGTGTGCTACAATATAACACGCGACAAATGCCTATCGACGTGGTATACACGTCGCTGACGATTTTGGAACGAAAGCATCTCGACGTGCGTGGCACGTCTTTCTAGCGCAAGTGGTTAACCAAGTAGCGGTAGATTGTGACAGTGAGTGATTTATTAGGTTGCAAGAAAGATAAACATAAAACAATGACGATGTCTAAGGAATATAATCACAGTGTAAAATACATGAAAGATTTGATGATCAAAGCTGAACGTATACTCGCTTATATGCAAATGTGTCGAAAATACGAGACGCAAGATGAAAAAGTACTTCCAATGATTGATAATCATCCTATGCAATTACCAACAACCGATAACAATATCCTTCCATTTCAAACAGTTAGGTCTTAGTTTACTATTATACGTATTTACTAACTCGCTTTCTAACCACTTTGTAATCACTTTGTAACCACTCCAACAACAATTTTTTTCAGACTATGAAAGACTTTCAATATCTCATTAATTTTTGGCGTCGACTAAATTTTGCGCAAATAATCACCAAAGAATTACGTACAGAAAAATGCCAGTTACTGATACAAGCGAACTATTTACGAAAATTGATGAAACGCTACTTTATTGATGAGACAAGTCCGATGTAGTTCGAAGCATATATTTCGACAAATCAATGAATAGTACACATAACAAAGGTCTACTAAAAATCGGTTTATTATCATCAAGTACAAGTGTGATGGTGGTACTCGTATACCATTGAAAATGACGTGATTATATCAATTTCTTCTCAGAGGTATTCTCACGTATTTACATGAGATCATAAACGTTAGATCATAATAAAGAATCAAAAATGCAGTAATATGAACAATTTGTGTAAGAATTTCAAATTTCTTATGCATTCCTATAACAAGCATACAGTGTACCGATAAACATGAGACGTGTAGAGTACAGCTTGTTTTTAATAAATAGAATTGTTCATAGCTGCGATAATTCATTATAATCACAAATCTAACTTATTTCGCATATGATTACGATGAAAAATATATATGCATATTGCTTATCGGTAGTATCGACCGATCGTAGTTTACGCTACACAATATCGACGCGACCGTTCATCATAAAATACCGGCAGTAACAAATTCGTTCGTTCGTTACTTCCGGTGATTTATTTCTAGTGAAGCCAGTCTTATGCTTTTGCCTGGATTTCTCTTGTCCTCCTTCATGTCAAATAACTTAAGTTCCGGAAACGATTATAAAAATATCATTGTGGTCTAACGAGTTAACGCAATTTATGTTTATGCGCTATACGTGACAACATTTTATTGCCTGCAAGGAATGTAACAATACCAAGTCCGAACAGATATCGAAGAGTAACGAACATGTTTAATTTTAACCAAAATATTCCGGAAAGTGTGAAAATACCTGAAAGCACACAAAAATAGTAAATGAAGCAGTTAAGAATTATAAATAAGCGGTTATTCATGTGTCGTGAAAATTGGGCTACAACTATAATATGATAATTACACTTGCGAAAATTTCACTTTTCTTTTATGCCCGAAGTGCTATCGCAAATTAACTGAAAACTATAATTTGTCAGATATCGGGCACGCTATACTTAAATAATATTACGATGAATATTATATAATGTTACTCACTTCCCAATCCGAGATGAAACGTCACAGCACTAATCGAAAATGGAAAGTTTGATATATTCACTCCAAGTTTAGCCCATAAAATAAGCAATAAGAGAATTGGTGCTAAGCACAAACCGGTGAATAAATTTGAAACAAAGGCGGGAGGCCTCTTCTCGGGTTTACGAAACATGTGCTGCAACATACCGATATATTTATCAATCAACCCATTGATAACGAAGTTCAATAAAAATTTCGAATTGAAAGGAATGTCCGTCGAAACATGTGAATGTAAACATTCATTCTAAACAGAATTTGATCTAGAACGACAGAAAGATATCTCGACAGCGATAGTTCTTTTCCAATGTTAAGGAGGTGACAGAATCTTAAAATGATTACTATCACTAACGAGCATTGGTTCTATCAGGCACAGAATAACATATGGCCAAAGAATTGCCGCAAAATTCGAAGTCTTTATCGTATACGAAATTACCAATTCGTAATCAATGAGTAATTGTAAAACACACTGTTATACCTTTATTTCCGGCTTAGTCGTGTAAATGTTGAATTTATGTTTGTAAAAAACATTTTTATCCGCTCGTTCAGTCGAAGACGGTTCAGGGAACTTCAGGCTAACTGTTGCCACTGTCCATTGAAAAGGATTACTCAGTACTGCATCACCGACAATTAATTCCACATTATAGTCTCCGCTTTCATAGTCAAAATTCGCTGCTGTTCCTCCCACCGGCTATAAAACGTTCTAATAGTGAGATGTTTAAACAATTTCAACAGAGATCACCAGAATGATGACAGAAGGAGTGTACAACTACCATATCGAACTTATAAAGATGTGATGTATCTGTTTCAGCGACAAACAAAATTTCATGTCCTTTTTTATCGTTGTTTGAAATAGACGCAGAAGAAAGCCGTACGAATGCTTGATGTGTGCGCATAGGTTTTTTATTAGCAGCATCTTTTAGTAGAAACCGCATAACTAATTTTTGTTGAGAGTCGGCCTCAATCTTTTGTGACAATTTTTCAGGGAAATGCACTCTGTAATCAATATTTATCGAATGAACATATGCGATTTATGGTTTTAAATCTATCGTCTCGATTCAATTACCGTGTAAGCTTTGGTTGAGTAGTTTGATCAGCATCAGCAGTACCAATTTCCATATGATCAACTACAACTTCGCAAAGAACTTTCACCATAACGGTATTCGTTACCGAACCAGCAGTGACTGATATCTTGTAAAATCCACGTTCTGGTTTCGTTTCCATGAAGTTCATCATGAATAAGGTCCTAAAATTAAATGATCATGTTAGAATACTTTGTACCTTCTATATCACGAAAAATTGTTTGTTGAGCTTCTTGATCTTTTCCATGATTTTAATGAAAGATCAAAGGGTAGCACCAACACGAATACTTTACCCCAAGGTATAACCGACTTGAAAAAGAAAATTCGAGCCGGTAAAGTATTGGGGAAAGGCGGTGAAAGTTTAACGCTTACCTATCCGTTGACGAAGGTTGCAAATTTTGTTTGCTGAATATAACGACATCATCACCGACTCTTGTTGCAGAATTTGCAATCACTTTAAACGTGTTGGTTAACGGATTGCCTAGTATATCGCAAACTCTTATTGTGACAAAGGGCTGTTGCGTAGAAATGCTGATTTCTTCATTGGCTAATATTACACAGGTTGGTTTCTCAAAATCATTGTTTGCCAAAGTCGTTAATGCTGAAAGCAAACTTGTAACGCCTCTTGGTGTCTGTACGGAACGTCGAGATAGAAGATAATTAGCCATTTTTACTATCTGCTGAGGTGTTAATGGCGGTTTCTTTTTCAACGTGTTGGATAGTTTAAAAATACCATTTACTAGGAAACCTAAGAAACAAACAAAGTATGTTCTACTAACCACAGTCGAGATTGTACAGAATTCAATTCCATTTCTTGTAACGTGTCGCAGGTCGTAGTACTAATCAGATAACACACTTAGTACTCACTGGTTACAGAGAGACCACCTTCGAATTGCAAATACTGTCCATCTACCTCATCTGCCTGAATAATCGCGTCTTCGATACGATCAAAACCAAAGGTACCACCAAGATCTGAAGCGATGTGGAATGTATAACCCAAGCTGCTCATAATACAAATTAGAATTTTTTAGATGGTTAGCAACGAACCTTGTATAATTTTTAGCGAAAACGAAACAAACTATAAGTTTAAAAATGAACAGAGTAAGCCATACTTCCATAAATTATCATCCTTTCGCAATGTATTTTGTATTGTCTTAATTACATTATCCACATTTTCACGGGATAATTTTTCCGATAAAACAGTCAAGCCGCTTACTGCATAGTATAATTCCACCATACTCAAAGTCTCTTTCTCTATCGCACTCACCAGTACCTATTTAAACAAAACAATTTCCCTTTATATCTCTGATAAACGAAATATTTGCTAATGCATATGATGAATTCTTTTTTTTTCAGTAAGCATAGCTTTCTTCAATATAGAAATCCAGTAGAACGAAAGTTTCTAAACATCATTAGTCGTTTAAAGATTAATTAACAGTTTATGCTTTAGTTTCTCAAAGATGCAAACCTTTATAATATTAGACGGAGGATTTGATTGACAATTTCCCACATTTCGCCAGGTAGATGCAATGTAAAAAGCTTTTTCTGTTGTGATATTGTTATCATCTTGTATAACTTTTATTAGAAAGTTACAAATATCCTAAAAATTATAAGAACCTTGTTAAAATATTGACAAAAGATCAGTACGAAACATTCTGTATATAAATAATTTGATCAGCAAGACTAATCAAGAAATCATTATATTTCAATTATGGCAAAACATATCATCATATATCTGCACATTTTTATATACACTAAGAAATAATATACGGTTAAATATATTTAAGTACAATATAAAACATTTTCATTAAAATGGTATTTCTAACCTGTTTGTTTGGCAAAACTTCTTTGAGAAATGTGTATCCATGAACTGCATAATATGTAAGTGCAACATCATTTGATGTTAAGCCTGGTTCAAGTATCTTCTTTAAATGAACCCTATCAGCCGTTGTTAAATAGGAGTTTGTCGATTGTAATATTTCGGTGGCCGAGAAGCAACTTGTTATACCGATAGTAATGACTAATAGTGGTGTAACTGAAAAAAAGTTGTGTCACAGTTAGATGACAACTGAGATTCTATTTTGATTATTTTTAATATTTGTGGTTATACTTAAATTAAATATTAAAATTATGCAAATCTCTCGGAAGACTGATGCAAATGTAAACTGTACGTGTATCATGTACCGTGCATTATTATTTGTTATTACGAAGCTAATATAAAAACGACTACTAAACTTAAAAGAGAAAATACGTATGAATATCATTTTTTTGAAAAGTAAAGTAATGAAATAAACTCTAGAATAAACGCAATAAAAATAAGATATGGAAAGTATAGTTGATCGAAAGAACCAGGGATATAGCAGATGAGCGCAAAGAACGAAGTATCATTATTATAGAAGAATAGAAATATCTATAAAGGCTTGTATTTAAATTCATCTAAAAAATATCCTAAAACAGTATAACACTAAATAATACTCACGAATGTTCATTATGGGAGGAAGACCGGGAAGACCGGCTGCCACGTTGCTGCTCCGAACAAAATGGCTCTTTACCCATTGCGCGTGTACGAAAAAATGGACGACTCTCCGTTCCGGAAGTAGTTGGCAAGACAAAAGTATGTTTAGTAAAAAGCATGCGCACAAATTATATGGTAATATTCAATCAATTGTACGTGCATAGTTTACTAAAAATTCATTGGTATGATCACTATGGGATAACCAATTAAAATATATCAAAATGCTCGAATTTAAATCAGTAATATTTTACTAATAATGAGAGTTAATTTCTTCAGATGTCTCCGTTTCAACGTCGTGCAATGGCCGAATATTATAAATTATGAATTTTTCTACTGAAAATGTCACATAAAAAAAAAAGCCACAAAATTTACTGTGATTATATTTATATTCACGTAGAATTTGGAGAATTTGGATAATTAAAAAAGTGAAGAATTTTAATCCTACTTTAAAATACCGTATACAAATATGCGCGATTGGAGCTTTTATAGACGCAAAATCTGATTGGCTCTAAGAATCTTGGTTTAAAATAACGTATAACGAATAATCGAATTTCATAGTACTTTTTATAGTGCCGACGGTTCAAAACGTTTGATTTTCTTCGAATTCGTTTTAAGAAAACTCAACAATGAATAATCTTCATATAATTGCATGTATAATTACGATCAAAATTAATTACGTTAATCATCGACTTTACCTTTATAACGTAGAATTACGGTAACGATAATTCTAATGATTAACTAACAAATAAGTGATGATTTTAATTACACTATCAGTACCAATGACGATAACGAAGCAATAAAGATGACAATATGCAATAGCAATCACATTAATCGTAATAAAAGATAGTAAAAACAACATTAACGAAAGCGATAATGATGTCGTTATACAATGAATTGTTATTGTGTCACACTATTCAAAAATGTGTACAAAACTTAAATTTAACGATAATTGATCTGTATAAAACGAATATAGCTAAACGTACACAGGATTTCGTTTATGAAAAGAGCGATATATTCGTGCAATGATTAAGATTTTGTGTAAGAATAATGAAAATTGCACGATCTCCCTTTTGATCAAAATGCTTGTCTCCTTTTGATACACATACATACATTGTTCATACAAGTGTGTGTCAATCAATATAAGTTTCCATTTCAATTGCATACTTTCAGCAATATGTTATTAAATCGAAACCGTATTTACATATAATTGTCATTGTAATATCTAATAGGTCTTCGATCTTCAAGCAATATTTCGTATTACTTGCAAGCGAATCAAAGATAGATTGTAGTTGAATGAATCGCATCGATGAGAGGAAGAAAATGGAACGAAGAGAATAAAGTGAAATTCAATGGAAGGGAGGATAATGTAAGAATAATAGCACAGTAGTACTAGTGCATCAATATGCGTTAACTATGCGACGCCGCGACACTATCAATGTGTACCTACAAACTTATAACGAACATCAAAAATAGAAAAAACGAGAGATCGCCGATTTTTGGTTAGTTTCTTCATAGATCTCAAATTGAAAATGGAAAAATAAAGACAATGTAGCCGTAGTGAATTTGAAGCATTTGAACCGTATGCATGTCAAAGAATCTACGATTACACCTTTGCATAAACGTTCAATTTCCCGAATGAAGCATTACAAACTTAAAAGTATCATATTATATTTATGAATTGTTAAAAAGATGCACGGCGTATAAATGAACCGTACAAACAAATGTACAAACGTGCTGATCGGAAAAATAAAGTCATTGGTCGGTCGTAGATCCTTATAATTAACTTATATATACATATATATAGTGTGTGTATATTTACGTGTATATATATTTATATATAGACACATAGTGTATATGTGTATATATATATATATATATACACTGACAGATCATGTAACACGTATGCACCGTATTACATGATCTTTCGAGTAAATTTAAACAATATATTACAGTATTTTTAGTGAGACTATATACACATAGCGAAGGACTTAATGAACGAAAAAGAGCGTTCACTTTTATCGCCTTGGTATTTACAAAATAACCTTACGTGCCAAAGCATTTTCGACAATATTTGATTTTTCTAAGGTCCTTGCTTTCTGCCTTTTTTGTTGATTTTAATACTGCACACGTCGCACTCCTACGCACACGCATGTAGCATAAACAGGCACACACGCACACACACGCGCGCGCGCACGCACACGCGCGCACACACACACGCACACATGCAAACGCAGATGGTTCGCAGGATCAAATATCCATGTGAAACAGATCGATTTTTACGTATCAGATAATAATAAACGCTTTTACGTTTATACCAAGATCATCGATTTGGTAGGAAAATATGACTAACAACTAATGATACACAATAAAGAATTTCTCTGTCCTTTTTTCGTATTAATAGTCACCAGACAACGAATTCTAGTCAAAGAACAATCCAATGACATGTCTTTGTACCAAATTTACTCAAATTTAGCCAGGGTTAACCGAATATACAGTTACATTGCTCAACGCAAAAGTTTGGAATACATGACAGACGTTCCACTTCCTAAATGGAAATGCTTGATAATATTAACCGTTCATTGGGAAAAGCTTGTCCTCCTTGTATAATATAGTAGCTAATCGATCGATTCCGATGGGCCCTGGCCCCATCGAGATTTCATTCTTATTATTTTGGTCGAAGAGGAAGGAGAAGTAGGAGGAACGTCGTCGTTAACTTTTCGTTTAACGCTTAACACAATACCACTCTTTGGAACGAACTTTGAATGAGAAGATGTCGTTTTAGATACATTGTTTTCCAAGTTTGGTGGCGTAGATGGAAACGGAGGGAAATCCTCGTCTTCGAGACCTGGGGGTTTCGGCTGTTCAGGGGCTATGTTTCGTTTGAAAGGTTCTGGGAAGGGATTTTTGTAAGGAATCCCTTCATGAGTAGGAGAACCCGTCGAAGTTAAACTTGACAGATTTGCAGATGGTTGAGAGATTAACGATGAAGACGTAGTGGTTCCCATGATCGATGGAAGAGCTGTTGTTGTTCCAGATAAACTCGATGGAACGGAATTTTCGGTGACCCTGTTTCCTGGCACTATCGCGGCAGATGCAGCTGCGACAGCCGCTAATTCCTCTTCTGCTTTTCTAATTAAATCCAAATCGCTCAATGAGCTCAAAGTACCCTTACTTTCTTTCTCTTTTGAAATCGATTCTCGATGATTAGATGACGATTCCACTATAGATTTCTCCGAATTGGATTTATTTAATCCGCTAATTGTAAGTTTTACACCAGGCGATGAGGAATATTTTTCCGAATTTTGGTAAATCGAAGAATTTGCAGTAGTTAAGAACGTGGCACTAGGTTTAGAAGGTAAATACGGGTCTACTTTAGAGCTCTCTTGTCGTTTGACGTTTGCTAAAATCTCTTGTAAATTTGGAGGTATCGTTATGTTTGAGACTTTTTCGAGAATCGGTTGAGTGAACTTTGAAATACCCGTGGGTGGTGGTGGTGTAAACGATCTCGTGTCCGAAGGACTGTAAGCTTCTTCGCATTCATCGCTGGGCGGTGGGTCCAGCCCTAAGCCCTGAAAAACCAACAAAACCACAACAACGTTAGAAATGTTACACAGTCTGTAACTCCATTCTTATCTTTCTTTCAATTTCGATATCCTCTACGGACGTATTAAGAAATCACTGTATTCGGAAAATTAAATGCGTATGACACGATTAATTTCTTTGCAATAAACAAAGTACAATCTTAACTTCAAACCACCAATCTCCGCCGACATTGTTTTAGATTTAACCATACTAATTGATATCAGTTGACAGAAGGAAGAATTGAAATGAAGACCGGAAATGAAAGGACCTAGAGCTACTGGCAGACTTCTACTACTTGTTTAATATATGTCGCGTATTAATATATTTTTCCTTTTTCTTTTGCCAGAAGATAACGACGAACATGAAAATTATAGAGAACGTACGCCATTTGTATTTGTAATCGTAATGACACGTAGGGATTCGAAATACGTGATCGTTTTAAATCGTAAATGAAATTTATACAATTGTACAAATAGATAAGTTTAGGTGAAAAAAAAAGTAAAAAGAAAAGAGAAAAAATATATCTCCTGCCCCTCCCTCCCAGACAGAGGTAAAAAAACCTCGGTGAAATTTATTTACGGCAAGAAGTAAAAATCCGAGCAGCTCGAGGATAGGAAGAGGATATCCGGATAGAATTGAAATCAATTTTATTTACAATAGGATAAAAGGAAAAACAATAACATTCGATTTTATAAAAAATAAATCTTGTTAAAATTCTCACCGGCAAAGTAGGCGTTGATTCACCGAGAAACGAAGAACTAATATTCTGTATTTGTTGCTTCTGTTCTTCGATTTGTCTATTTAATTCTTCCATTTTTCGTTGGAGTTCGGTCGAATTTTTACTGGAAGAAATGATACCATTATCGAGTGTACTAACATCGTGAATACCCAGTGAACCAGATATCGGAGCTACTGTGGTTACTGATGTCGATGTAGGACAAGTTCGTAAGTCAAGATCAATATCTTCCTCGTCCATCTGGCCAGGACTATACGGCTCGTCACCATCGTCCTCGAGAGGTACTTTACCAGGCGAAGAAGTAAGATCGATCTTTGACGACAATTCAGGGACTATTTTACATATGGTCGCAGTATCGAGTAACGTACTCCTCGACATTCCTATATGTGCTCTATTTAAGTTGTCAAGAGTAGTTTGAGTAACAGGATGTTGTTTTTCTTTTGTAGACTCGGTCGTGCTGACCGTGGTAGCCGATGTTTTATGATATGTACTCGTTGCGGTTGCCAAGGAAGGTGATGATATCGTTGGTGTCGCGGTAGAGGTAACGGAGGTAGATACGATGATCGTCGCGTTGCTACCATTGCTAGACTTATCTTTCGAGGCACCTATTAAAGGTGGCGTGTAACTTCGATCGGCATCCTTTTTCGATAATTTCATCGGTATGCCTGTAGACGATATGCCAGCGGGTCGTTTTCTTTTGTTGCGAACAATGATTCCTAGAAGAAGATGCGGTCTGTGCTCTTCGAAGCCAGGCCCGTTCAAAGGTAAGAGAACCTGAGGTATCGTGCTCTGATTTGAAAATGGCATTATATAAAAATCCTTTA